CTTGTTACCAAGAGTTATGGTAACAAGAAAATCAAGATAACACAAAGGAGGTAAAAGCTGGCCAAATTCGGATTTCAGAGCTGTGGTAACATGCAGGATCGGTTGGATGGGCAATACTTGTCCAATGGAGCTCAAATTTGGATATGTTGTAGTTAACATCCATTGGAACAAGTCTCAAGAAGATCATGACCTCATCCGAGCACCGGAGCATGCTGATCCCAGGCCAAGAAGTTGACCTACGAAAATGAACAAAAACAGAAATTATAACAAGTAGTGCACTTTTAGCTCATTTTCAATCTAACCAAGGTAAAATCTAAGAAAACACAAAAAGGAAGTAAAAAGCTATAAAATGTCAAAAACTAACTCAAAATAAAAGGGGAATAACATGAAAAATCATGTGTAAAAATGAACCGAACAACAACAAACTTGAAAAGCTACAGTTCGTCATCAGCTTGGTGATAGGTTTCTGTGCAGGGTTCTGGGGAGTTTTTGGGACTTTGGCCATAAAGAGGTCTTGGAGATATGCGTATTTTCACTTCCTTGACAAAGTGAAAGATGATGTCCTTGATTTTGTCTCATCCATTGGTACTTATCTGCAGAAAAGATCATAGAGCACAAAACAAGCTGCAAATGTGAAGGCATATATGCATGCAAGCAAATAAAGCAATGTTTAGTAATGTCCTTTACAAATTTCTAAGTTGGTTGTAATATGCATTTATACTTGTATGTGTTGTGCTAGAAGCATCAAGCCTTAAGGAAATAATTGCTTCAATACATTTCGAAATCGATAAATTTCTACTGGAGCAGATGTTGCTAACCCAAGGATAATAACAGAAAATAAATGTAAAAACAAAAAAATAAAAGATTTAAATTATGAACCTTAACTTCATCTTTATACAAGGCTACAAACCTACAAATCTTAACTTCATTTTTTTATTTTTTATTTGGTCAAAGGGTTTATTGCTTTACTCAAATAGAATTTACAAGTTTTTATTTTTTAAAAGAAGAAGGTCTAAAAGACAAAGAAAGTAAAACAAAGAGAACCAAATCCTATGGCGCTTCTTCTTCTGAGACCTCCTGCTCCTCCATATCTTCGCTTCATGGCCTTACGCTTTCTATCACACTATTCTCTTCACCCTCACTTCCCCTCCTCTTCTTCTTCTTTCTCGTATTCCTCTCTTGCTCGTCCCTCCCTCTTGTTCAACCCACAACCCAGGTGCTTTTCCCTTTCATATTTTGCCCCTCATTTTCTGTTTATTTTCCTATTTCTGGTTTGCTTTTGCAACTTAGTAATTCCTCTGTTGTGCTTTTGAATGAAATCCATGATTACAACCAAAAAAAGAAAAAAGAAAAAGAGTAACTGCGTCGGCGTCGACCACGAGCAACGACGATGACATCATTGTGGGAGCAAATTTCCTCCCACGAGAATATTCGTCTAAAGATTCCTTCGTCTTCTTCGCACCTCTCTCTCCCTGCAAAACAGATCGGAGTAAAGGACCACACCCGGGGGGTGTTGGCCAAAGGCCCTCCGATGCTTAAGTTAGGATGGGTGTTTCAAGGAAAACCGGGTGGCTGGAGCCGTGTGTGGAGGCCGGAGCCTTGTGTGAGAGAGAGAGAAAGAAGATGGTGGCTAGGGTTTGTGAAAGATAATTTCTGCAGAGTTTCAGTAGGAATTTAGACGTACCTTAACCCTTGTGTGTAGCTAGGTATTTATAGGAGCCTCGGAGGCTAGGGTTTCAGAGGAATAATTCCGTAGATGGAAGGGAATTATTCCTCCCCTATTATGCGAGATTTGATTAATTGGGGATTTGATTTATCTGATTTAAATCAAATCCCTAATTAGGGTAGGAATCAAATCAATTCCCATTTTAATTAGGTAATTGCCAATTTAATTGGGTAACTCCCAATTAAATTGAGTAACTCCCAATTAGGTCAAATAATCCCCAAATGGAAGGAATTATTTGACCTAGGGTGATTTAATTCGATTCCCACAAATGCCCCCCAGCTTCTGCATGGCGCGTGGTGGCATGTAGGAGATGTGAATCATCTGTTGGGCTGTCCAACTGCAACTGGGCTTCCTTCTGTTTCTTGGGCTCCTGCGTGGAGGAGGTCTTTGACTTGCCAATTTTATGAACACCCAATTGGAAAGGGTTTGAGATTCCTTGTAGGTCAAGGAATTTTTGCTCCTTATAAATGTAGGGCTCCTCCGAATTAACCTTCACATCAGAAATCTATCCTCCAATTGGGTCAGTGAGGGAGAGGCAGCTTTGGAGAATTATTCCAACCCACTTGAGACTTTGAGTACGTCCAAGGTAATTTGACTGAAAGAATTCTTTTCTTTTGTCATGGTTTTGGGCAGCAAGGTGCGTGATCCAGCATGGAGGTGAGCCTGGTGCTGGAGACAGGTGCGTGAGGGCCGCAGTCTGGGCTCGAGCTGGTCGTGCGCTGGGCTGGAGGCTGGAGCGAAGAGGAGCTGGACCTGCGTGCAACGTGGGCTTGCGCTGGGCAAGCTGGCCACGTGCGCTGGGCCTTCGCATAGGCAGCGAGCCACGAGCTGGAGCAGGTGCGCTACGTGGGCCAGGCTGGAGCAGGAAGCTTGCTGGGATGGAATCGGATGCGAGCTGGGCTGGAGGCGCGGGCTGGGCCGTGACGACACTGGGCCGCGCCGTGACGACACTGGGCCGCGTGTGCTGTGCGCCAAGTGGGCTCGAGCTGGCAGGCGCTGGGCTCCTCTGCGGATTGGGCTGCCACCTGCTGGACCCCTTTCTCTTTTCTTTTTTTTTTATTGCTGCTGTTTTTTTTTGTTGAGCCACGAACTATGAATTTTAACTTGCAATTTGCTTCGTTATTTTTGCAGCTGCTCAACGACCATGTCTTCTGAAGGGAGAAGCCGATCACCAAGCTTGCAAGTGCCCTTGTACCAGTGGGGTGGTTCCCAAGTGCCCAAAAAGAAGTTCGTGGCGAATTTGCACCGCGTTACCACCGAGGCCCAGTTCAAGACATGGCGTGCACTTTTTGATTCCGCCATTCCCAGGGACGTGCATGTCAAGTTGGCAGAGCCCTCGTCTGACAGTGTACCTCGTGTGGATCCGAACAATCCAGGAGCCAGGATTATCACGTTCCGTCCCTTCTATTTCTCGCTGGGCTTCACATTTCCATTGTCAAAACTTTTCAGGGATGTGTTCTGCGCCATGGAGTGTGCCCCGAGCCAGTGTACTCCGAACGTTTATCGGGCGATCCTCTGCTTTGAGAACTTGAGTCGCTTTTTCAAGCTAGGTCTGACTGTACGTGAATTCTTCTATTTCTTCGAGGTGAGGCACTTCGAGAAGTATGCTCAAGTTCGCGCGTGCCAGCCAAGGTTGTTTGACAGTTTTAGTCAAGGCGATCATGTGTGGAGCAAGGACGTGCTAGAAGTCAGTGGCAGATGGGAAGGGGAGGTTGGCGATGGTCCGCTCGTTCCTCTCACCTACTGTGATGGTAAGTTGCATCCCTTTGATCTGCTACAATTTTCCTTCTTTGTTGTGTGTCTAATTGACTTTCGTCTTCTGCTCGCAGGAAATGCCATCCGCAAGAAGCTCGTTCTCGACCCGGACATGACCAAGGTTCAGCAAGCTCTAAACATCCCTGCCTAGTTTCGTGAATGGCGCTGGTTGTGAGCGAACATCAGAAGGAGGTCGGTGGCCTTCCCCCTGTCGAGGATGTTGAAAGATGGAAGCTACATGGTTCGGACCTAAGTGATCTGCCAGTCGAGCAGGAGGAGTCCTCGACCGAGTTCCCTAAGGAGGTGAAGGCTAGTAGCAGATCTGCCCGCGATGAAGCTGCAGTCTCACGATCAAGAGATAGGTCCCCACAGCGGAAGCAGTCAAGACCTCCTTCTGCCACGAGCAAGTCTTCCTCAAGGGTGGTCTCGTCTGCTGAGAAGGACCATATGGGAGTTGCTCATGCCTCGTCTGCCAGGACCAGAAGCCTCGTCAGCGCGAACAGCAACAAGGTTAATGGCATGCAGGAGGTCCGAGATATTCTGCTCAAGTCTTCGCCCGTACTGCCCAAAACTCGTGATCTGCCTCTTAAAGAGGCCGCTGAGAAGCAAGGTTTGGGGCGTCTGCGCCGATCCGGAGATCAAACTGAGAAGATTGTGCCTCTGTCTAGCAATCATGACTCGTCTGCGAGGCCACGAACAGTCAAGCGCGGAGCTGACTCCTTGTTGCAAGTTGCAGCCAAGAGAGCTAAAGAGTCGTCTGCTCGAGCGAAGAGTCCTTCAGTTGCGCGAACTGCTAGTCCGGGAATTGGTGATAGCACTGCTGGGGGTGAGTCCGTGTCTGATCTTCTTAAAGCGGGCTTCCTGTCAAGTCCGTCTGCTTGTGCGAAGCTGGTCGACCATGTGTATCGAGCCGGTGACCTTGGCGCTTTCTCGAGCCTTCCCTTGGATAAGCAAGAAGAAGCCGCCATGTATCATCTTCAAAAGGGGATGGTTTTTAGTGTTGGGGCCATGCGGAACTCACGTGATGTTGCCCCCTCTTCTGCCCTGCTTGATGAGCTGGTGAAGGAGATGTAAGTCGCCTGCGCGATCTTTCTCTTGCGCTCCTTTTTGGCCAGCCCAGACTCTTGGGAA